CAAGCAAACTTAGAGACTCTTCTCATGGCTTACTATTAACTGTCAAATTACTGTATCTAAAGAAATGCTTACACACCCTTATATTAACAGAACTTGTGTGACTTTGATGTTTGTGCTTTTATGAAGGCCTGACTATTCATTTACTCAAAAAAAAAAAGACAAATTTCTTGCTTGGACTCTCATATGAAAATAGAATGTGATATGAGCTAAATTTGTCAAAATATTATGTGTGTTGCTTGGTGGTGCAGTGGTAAGCATGCCTGCTTTGCAACGCTGGGGACGTGGGTTCAGTTCCTGGGGTGCTATCTGTCTGGAGGTTGTACGTTTTCCCCTTATTTGTTTCCTCTGGATGCTTCATTGACCTCTGGGAAAATTGGCCCTGATGTGAGTGTGTATGTTTGCATCTGTGTGTGCCCTGTGATGGACCGGTGTCCCATTCAGGGTGTTTCCCGCCTTGTGCCTGCTCCTTGCCGGGTTAGGCTTCCCTATGATCCTATACTGGATAAAGCGGTTTAAAAAATGAAGAGATGGAAAATATTATGTGCACATATATGGATAGTCTAAAACACTGTACTATGTTGCAGTGTAACAAACTCAAATGAGGTTTTCAACAACTTTAGTATTTAACTTATATAGCTATGTTATATACAGCATAGTATATAATAGGCAGTATAATAATAATTAATAATTACTTACACTTATATAGCACTTTTCTGGACACTCCACTCAAAGTGGTTTACAGATAATGGGGACTCCCCTCCACCACCACCAATGTGCAGCCCCACCTGGATAATACAGCAGCAGCCATAAAGTGCTGCTATCAGTGGGGAGGAGAACAGAGTGATGAAGTCAATTCATAGATGGGGATTATTAGGAGGCCAATATATAGGAGTATATATTACATATGCTATAGCATGCTATGCAATTATACTCTATGGTACCTATATTACAAATATTGGTAATATGTTTAAGTGCTGCCTTAAAAAGTTTACTATTTACTAAAATTCAGTTCATGAGTGTTCTCAATGTAATGCAGTTCATAAGTTCATGTAGATTTTAGGAAGCTATTGTAAAACAATAAAAATATTTTAATCGGCTTCAATACTGTAATGAATGGCCTATGAAGAAAAGAGGGACGCTCAGAAATAGAGTATATGGAAATTGCTTATGAATCAGTAGATGTTTGAATACCACTTCAGAAGACCATAGACTAAGTTTTTATTTTGGAAACCATGCTCTCTTAGAACTTGTTTACTTACAGAAGCAGTCATGACTTAATAGTTTTATGCAAGTCATGTGGATTTTGTGCTCCCAACAGTTTGTACACATGTCTAGGCTTGTTTATACTAAGCGGTTTAGCTGGATTCCGTTTATAAGAGATTGAGAAGAAATGGAATAGATGTGGTGGTTATTTATGGCTATAGAAGAATATTATGGCATTTAGTTTCTGATCTGTCTTTCTTGGTAAGTTGCCAGTTTCACTGGGGTATGTTTCCATGATAACGGCGATTGCCTTCTGTACGTTTGATTTTTATCTTGAGAAATGTTTTACTCTGGCCAGATAGTTTTAAGCTTTGCCAAAGCAGTATTTGCCATTCTGATTCTAGTCCTTATCTCACAGGAACTGGGACCATCTTGGCTGATGGCCCTGCCAAGATAAGGACATTTGTCAACTTCTGTCTGTCATGAAATAAGCCTACACAACATGGTTGCAACTTATTCATCATGCCACTGAAGGCCTAAAATGCTTGTAGTCCAGTGAAGTAGGTTTTCCACCTGTCCTTGAGTGGGGTTAATGTGCCTGTTAAGACCTCATTGTCCAAGTGTCACAGGGGGCAGCTTTAATGTGAACAGCTGATCTGTAAGGAACTTTCCTCTTGAACTGAATTTCGTATTTCCCAAATCAGGTCCCAGTTACCCTTAATGGATAACATGGGTTAGGAAGCACATATTTCAGTCCGTGCAAGACAATGCAGTGTGAATTGTAGTTTCATCACTTCTCCAAGTCATTTTTTAGATCATGTATTACCTGTTCCTAACTTGATCTCTACGTGGGAAGAGATAGTGAGGAAGATTTCCCATTCTGGTGCTCACAATACTTTCCTTTGTTTGCAAACATTCACCCTGTAAAAGTATATGCAGATTCAATTCATCCAGAGCTGCAAAGACAAGCAACTTCTGTGGAGGAATTCTCATAAATATCATTGCAATTTCAGGGGCGCTGTACAATGCCTGACCCTGTGCTCTGACTCCAGGCTTCTCTCTCCCTAACTGTGTGTCTGTGTGTCTCATGGAGACCAAGCTGGGGTATGCGAAAAGACGAATTCCTAATGCAAGAAATTGTATAGGGCTAATACAGTTATCTTATCTTTAATTTTTTTTAGTTTATCTAATATGTTCAACTAATTTGTGACAGGCCCACTGTCAGAGTTTTTGCCACATCAGCATATTAATTTACTTTTTAACTCAGGATACAGTCTCTGTGTTTTCGCTGCAATCATCCAAGAAACATCCAACTCCAAAAAATAGTTGAATTGCGTCTTACAAATTAAAGAAGTTCAATCGAGAACAAAAAGTAAAATTTTCTGTTAGCTTTCTTTAGAATGGGAAATGGGTACCCAAGAGAGTCTTAACTGTCTTAAACTATCATCATAAGAGTAGGTTAATGAATTATTTTCTTTTGAAAAGAAAAGTTTATTACTTTAAGTGCGTTCTTGTTGTTTACAGTCTCTTAAGTGTTGTTGTTTTTTTTTTTAGTCTGGACATTAAAATCATGTGGCCTTCTAAATGTATTCTTGGAAAAGTGAATCTTTTTTTTTTTACACACAAATAGTTTTTGCTGAATGGGATAATTTGTATTCCTGCTCTGGATCTTTTGATGAGATGATGTGCTGTAGCCCAGCAGTTATTCTTGCTGCCTCTAGTCTTTCCTTATTCCTGTACAAAATAAAGATGCATGCAGTGTGACCTTCATCAGTCAGCCAAGTTCTGAGTTTTTTTTTCCTCATCCTACCATCATCCCTTTGAATCCAGGGAGCTATGATGGTGCAGGAACTGTCTATCCTGTCAGCTTTATTTCTCCAGATGTCTCAAAGCAGGCATTTGCTGCTATAAATAGTGTTTTCTGCAGTCAGCATTGTGTGTTTTGCCCACAAAAGACCAGTATGTGATATTTAGCACCAATTGATGGATAGGCCATGATTGTAACTTTGATTTTAAAGTAATACGTTGGCTCTACTTATGTAAATAGATAATAGCACTGATTTCAAAACTAGACATTTTCATCTTTAAATTCAGGTTCTTATTAATGATCCCCACAATTGTGAGAGTGTATTATTGTATAACATTGCAACCTCTTTGTGTCTTCAAGCTGATGAATAAGCTAAAAACCCATGGCATAATCTTTTGTTCTGTCTTACTAAATTTTACATTTTACTCAATATGTCTGTCACAAAATAAATAGGAACCGCATATGACTCTAGGGTGTTCTCCGTTTCTCCCCTGTTATTATTAGGTTATTTATGAGCACGTGTTTTTGATCTGTTCATCTTGTCACCTTCCACTAGCCATAGTGTGCCTTTTGCATCCTGTGGTCCATAACTGAGAGTGATATTTGTCATGGGCCCAGTATGGCATGCCTGTTTTAGTGGTAATTTCAAAGCACTTTAATTACAGTGACCCTGAACTAGTGGAGAGGAAACATCTCAAATGATTCTATAGGCCAGGTTACAGTAACAGGAACAACCCTGCTCCACTGCCGATTGCATTTGAAATGGAGTTCTTTAATTTCTCTTTGGCCTGTTTACTATTTGATTATGCTCTATAGCATATTTATTGTTGCTTAGGCTGGCTTAATTATCAAGAAATCACAGTTTTACACAGTGTCTGCATGACTGGAGTATTCTAAAAGTGGTAATGGGCTGTGCAACATCATCAGCATCCAGAAGTGTTAAAAAAAAGTACTGTGGTTATACATTATGCGTTACATGTCAGCATCTATATCACCATAGTTTGCCCCCTTTATTTTGGTAATTTAATATCCTTCCCGATGCTTGTTATTCTATTACGTACGGTTGTCATTCATCCATCCGTTTTTTTCTAACCGCTTCAACTAATTCAGGCTCACAGGGGAGCTGGAGCTTATCCTGGCCAGCAATGGGTGCAAGGCAGGATACATAGATGGGATGCTAGTCGATTCAGGCACACCCTCACAGCAGGGCTGATTTTCCCAGAAGCCAGTTGACCTACCAGTATGTCTTTGAACTGTGGGAGCAATCCAGAGCACCCAGAGGAAGCAATCGCAGAGGAAGATCTGGAATTGAACCCAGGGCCCCAGACCTGCAAGACAGCAGTGCTAATCATCGTGCCACCTGAGTTGACACCTATTTGAAGCCAGCAGAATATCACACTTGAGCATAGTTTGCTACTTGTTGTTTTCAAGTGGTTTTTATTCCCCATCTGTATTATGAGTCTCCAAAGGCCTATCCTTGCTTCTGACTACTCAAGTGACATTTTCATGTAAATGACATGTCTTGTGCTGTAATTGTATTAGATACAGTATTTTGTTATTTTCTAGTTTGAGAGAAATGCTGGGACTTTCTGTAGGATGCTTTCCTAATGGAGATTTAATTCTATACCATTTCTTACACCCCTTTCACCTTCTGATCTCACTGGTCTGTGAAGTCTGTAATCCTACCATGAAAAGTAAATTTCTATAAATGTATTCAATAAGTAACTGATCTGATCACTGTTAATTAGTTTAACTTATTTTCTAAATTTGATTATTAATTTCTAATCTTCCAGGCCAAATATTTGCCTCTTTTATTTCTGATTAGTGAATGTTTAAATTAACAAGTGTTTTACAAATAATTAATCTAGGTAGTAGATCTTTAATCTAATTGCTAAACCCTTCTCTTGAGGTCAGTGTTAACAATTAAATTATTCAAATCAGATGTGGTTGGGTCACTGTAATGCTGTTTTTCTTGTTTGTTTTTTTTTAGGATCAGTTCTGGACATCATAAAGCATATTATTTCCCGGGGCGAACACAAGACTGGAGTCCTGGATGAGCCCAGCATAGCCACTATTTTAAAAGAGGTGTTGGAAGGGCTGGAGTACTTGCACAAAAATGGCCAGATTCACAGGTATGGAAGGAAAGAAAGGGATGCTTTCAATGCAGTGTGGTCTCATTCTGGACATTACACATCAAGCATGTTTCATTTTATTCTTGCTGCACAACATGTTGGTGGCTCACTACAAATGAGATTTCGTTTACTGTATTTTTTACTTGCTATAATATCTGAATGAGTTCACCGTCCTACCTGACTTCCCATGCGTTGGAAATGCACACAGAACACTGGCTCTTGCATGCTTGAAAATTTTCAGAGAACCTTCAAGATATAAGTGGTGTTCATTTGTTTATCTACCAGGCTTCATAGAAGCTTTTGCTTAGTCGTGTATGAAACAATAGTGTTCCAGCTTTGTCTGTATGAAACTTGTAGATAATTCTGGTCATAATCCTAGTTAATTACAGTATTAACAATTAATGAGGCATTCTTGACAATTTAGATTGTAAAAACGTTTTAAAAAAAGAGGAGGCTATTTTAGCCCTTCTGAAGTGTTGAGTAGTTAGTAGCTTATTCATCAAAAGATCTCATCTATTATTGGCTTCATCCACATTGCTGACTAGTTTTTTCCACACTCCTTCAGGCTTCTGGGTGGTAAAGAAGTGCCTCCTATACATGGTTTGAAATACACTTCCACATAGTTTCCACTTCCACTGATGTTTCAGTGTGGTTGCTGTCCTTTCACATTGGGTGCTCTGCAACACTGCACAGGCAAACTGTTAAATAATTTCTGCTTTGCATTTCTGCTATAAAGCCTTTGAGTGGATGGAGGAGGGAGAGAGCAGAAAAACTTGGCAAAGGGGTGGGGCTGGTAAGACAAAAGACATGAGATGGGGAGGGAAGAGTGTAAAGACAGTGGAAGAGTCCTGGATAGCTAGACATTTTTTTCTGGGGAGGAATTGAACTGTTGATCTGTTTATTGTTGTTTGTATAAAGGATTTTACAGGTTAAATTTGAGTGATGGCATTCATCTCATACAGTATATAGTGTATGTGTTAAAGGCTTGTTATTAAATACAGTTCCTGTACTCTATTCAGATTATTCCTAATAGATGTCTCGGCCTCTTATCACCTTACGTATCTATCTTGACCACTTGACCAAACTAAGAATCCACTTCAGTATAGAGAAAAATGCATACGTTTAAAAAAGACGTGAAATGAATTATTTAATTTAATACTTTTTATGAATTAAAAAAATATCTCCAATTATAAACAATTTATTTGAAATAGTTGACTGTTATAGCTGGGCTACCTCCATATTGATTTTTTTTGTGTGAAATAAAACACTATACACCCTTTTATTCTATGTTTACAATATGATAGACATATTAATTACAAATTGCAGCAATTGATTTATGATACTTTTCAGCTGCTAAATACTGCATGTTGTACAGTAAGTCTGTAGTATGACTAAGGTACAGTACATTAGAAATGCATACTGAATTCACTATATTTATAAATCATTTCCTGTTTTTGTTTATTGTGAACATCCAGCAGGAGCTATATGACAGTAGTCACAGCTACATGTTTCACAGCAAATATTAGTACATTTAACCATTTTTGTTTCTGCAATTTGTTATTAACAGAATTGTTGAAGATCATAATGATAAAAAGGTTTGTACTTTAATGGAATGGAAAATCTGTACTCCTGAAGTAGATACAGTATATTTTTATCTTTAAAGAATGTTATTTGTTCCACATTTTTTGTTTGGTAGCTGTATCAGTCAGGAGTTCACATAGGGCACAGTCTTGTCAGATCTTACAATAACTGCTTTTTATTTCTGAAATTGGCATTTTCTATTTCCATTCTGATTGTCTGAAATAATGCATGCTTTATTTTAATCTCTTCAGTGCCTTGCGTCAGAATAAGTATGGTCTCTGGCATAAGTAATTGAAGTGATCATATTTAGTCTCATTAAAAAAAATAATTAATCTCAGTTAAGAAATTAAAAAAAATAGTGATGACTGTTATAGCTTTAAAACCATAAAAGTTGAAAAAACATTCTTGAGGGTAGGCTAATCTATAGAGAGATCCAAATATTCATCTCTTTGAAACATGTTTTAGTTTGGCAAATATAACCTCTGCTAGGAAATCCTTTTATGAGTTGAGATTCCTAGTGCCTAAGTACATCATTTTCAATTTGTGAATTGCTTTCTTTACCAAACCAATAGAACAACTGGTCTTTTTTATGATCTGAAAAACTTTCCCTGCTATAATCAAAAACTGTTTTTGATTGATTAGTTATATGGTAATATATACTGTTTTGTAATCCAAACATCCAAAACTGAGAATGTGAATTACATTGCTCTAGGAAAGAGCTTAACTTCACAAAGCAACAGTGTGTTCTTCTCGAATGTGTGAGATGCAGCTACAATACACTGTATATATTTTCAACAAGTCGTCTGCCTCATAAAAAAACAATGCTAGTAAAAACGAAAGTAAATATACGATTCTCCCTCATTCTAAGGATTTAGCATGATCCTTTTCGGCTTATTTTACTAGCATCTTGTGGTCTTGATCAGCATTAAGGCCACTAGACAGTGGTTTTTCCAAGTATCAGTTAGTGGTGGTGGTAGTGGGGAGAGGGTACGTGACTGACAGTGAAGGAATCAAGTTCTGTGAATATCTTTCAATTAAGTTTTTCTTTCAGTGTTCTCTGGCTTCTGAGAGTTTAGAACATATTTAAAGGAAAAAATATTAAGAAATCCTTTCAAAATTGCATTATCTTCTTCTCGTGACCCGCTACTGAAATATGCCATTGTTGTTTTCTAGGATGTTGCCTTATAGTAATTTTTCACAGTATCTATGAGAACACATTTCTAGCATTGTGGGAAGTTTATTACTCTAAGGCTTGTTATTAAATACAGTTCCTGTACTCTA